GTACAAATTACACACAAATGAAATGTGGTGCATCAAATTGCAATCAACTGTTTGATGTGTGAACAGCGTAAGAGTTGCAAAAATGTCAGTATGGTTTTTTCTGGGCGTGATAAAAGCAAATCGGGTTAAAGACATGCTTTTTATGGAGTAATTCGGGTTGAAGTGATAGGGAAATTTTGGTAAGATGTAATCCAGTCACTGTTATGCAATAGCACAAGCATCAATCAAAGAAAATCTTGATAATAACACAAACTTGGCAAATGCATAAGTTATAAGTTAAGTAGACGAAATGGAAAAGTTTTATACGTCATGTAGGTCAAATATTGTCGAGAATCCGCCATAAACAAATCAGTCATCACATGATACACACAAAATTAAGATGCAAATAAAAAGTTCACACTTCTTGTCGTGCGAACTGAGAAGTTTGCAACAAAACTTTGATCCTATTTTAAAGTTTTTTGGTTTGATTTGAGAGCTGTGATTTGAGTTACTATCTCTCTGTGTCAAAAGTATATATCTATGTGAATGAAATGAAGAAAGTTAGCCAAATGCGAAAATGGCCTTTTCCCCGAACAACAATAAAACAGATTTTATTTTTCTGTGAGCAATAATTGGAAGGAAGGGCTAGAAAACCTCCAAAGAGTGTATCTATTGCTGTCAGTGTTGTTCATTTTTATTATTGTTGCTTCATTGTTGAGAAGAACGCATAAAAAGTAGGGAGTGAGATAACGTTAAACAACAGGATCCAACCAATTGTACGGCAATTTTAAAATCAAAAGCCAAAAAAAAAAATCGAGAAAAAAACAAATCTGTTGAAAGTAGATGCGGATGCGAGCGCGATCACTAACAAGATTATTGTATACGCGTAACATCTGTCGCGTTTTAAAAAAGGATTTAAAAAAAGATGAAATTCAAATCATCTTAGCGGGAAAATGGCCCGTTTAAAGGGGTTTTTTTTATTCGCGACACAGCATTTTATCTGCCATTGTTCATTATATCGCGCATCAAGAAGAAAAATCTCGTTGTAAGCATAGAGTTAAGTTCATAACATAGGAAATTCGTCGAAATACGGAACGAATAGAAATCGATTACAAAATGTGCACAATGCACATATATGTGCGCAATAACCATTTCATTTAATTGAAAAATGATGCAGTGAACTCGGGGCCAGGTATGGGATGAAATTACTGACTTAGAATGTAAGCAATATCCGTTTGCACCTAACAAAATCTAAACGAACGACGATCGTCTAAATGGAATTCAATTTCTAGAATTTTAAGCGCGTTTTCTGTGTATATTGTGGCAGCCAGTGGAAAAAGGAAAATGCAAATAAAATGAAATTTTACCACATCCATTCTGTGTTTCTATTTATTCACGGTTTGGGGTACCAATCCCCCATACAAATTAAATCTTATATTCCGTCTGTGTACTTAAGTTGTACAAATATACTATATAATGTTCGTCTAAAGAAAGAGAAGAACACATCGCTGCTGCTGCTCTGGTGCTGACTGACTGAGTGTGTGTGTGTATGTGTGTGTAGATTTTTTTTTCTCATCACCTTTCGTCGCTCTCGTTGATGCTATATGGCTCTTCGCCTGTGAAATAAATATATCGCCAGCTCTATTGCTACTATTCGACGATTTTGTGTGTTTTATGTGCTTGCGATTTACATGTGTTCGTTGATGCGAGCTAGCGAGCGAGAGAGAAAGAGAAAATAGTGCGAGCGAAACAGCGAGCTCATTGTCGTTGTCTTTGTTGTTATTGCAAAATTTCAACAAAAGGTTGAGCATCTCGAGAGCACCGTGTGTATCCGACTGATACACACACTGCATGTGTAGTCGAATTTTCCACACTCACAATACAATGAACCATGCAGTGAATATCAATTTTGATTGGCATTAAAAATAACTCGGTGCAAGGAAAATGTTGTCTGCGCGCCGTTCTTTATTGCGATGCTGAACGTTCCATTGTTCCGTTTGTGTGTATTCTCATCAATCCGCTCCTTCTTGACGGAAGGCAAAATTGCGCTTTTCCACCGAGTACCGAACATTCCAATGCGTCAAACACGACCGAGTATATATCTTACTTCGTTCTGCTTGGAACAGTGACCGAAAACCGAGTGAAACAAACGAACGAACCAAGAAAATGTGTTGGTTTTTTCTCCTCTTACTTGATTCTGAGTCTGTGTTTGCGTTACACACAGTCACGAATCAGGAAAGAAAAGTAGCAAAACCGAAATTTTCTTCGATTTTGTTTTGGATACTTGTGGTTGGAATGAGATAACACCAAATCATTCGGTGAAAAACAGCATGATACACACTGTGCCAAGGCTTTTGTCTGTTTTTGTGACGACATATAAACAGAACATAAAGTTTTCTGCACTCATCACAATCAAAGTCGTTCCGTCTCCTTCTGACGCATTGAACGTCGATGCGCGCCACAGCAAAACAACTCCAAGAAATACGTCCTTCTTATTCACCCGTCTCGATAATATCGTCGTTTCTTTTCCGTATTGTGTCATCGCTCTCCGACTCTTTCTCGCATTCATCGCTTCAGCTACGATGCCACACACACACACACACCGCATGCGTGTGTGTTCCCTGTGTATCAGGCCACGGCGGTAGATGTGTAATAATATTGGTTGGATTGGATGAGTGAGTAGCAAACAACAAGAATATGCGCGCCCATACAATAAACGCGCACGCATGTATTCGATTCGAAATGATGGCAAAGCTTTTGTATTGGGTCATAAACGAACTACTTCTCATAACGCAAACAGCTTCAGTCTAAAACGATCGAAACAATCGGAATATTATTACGTTGACGCAGAGAGAGAAGAAACGAAACGACAGTACGAGAGAAAAACGGGCGCACCGAGCGAAAACGGCAAAAGAAAATAAAATAATAATATAATTTTTTATTATCTTCTCTCCATTTGAACTATATACAATACCACACCGTATCACCGTCGTGTGTCTCGAGTTCAGCACCAGTAGCAGCAAAACAATAAAAAATTGTGTGCATTTTCGGTACAATTTGAATATTTGACAGTTTTTTTCGCGTTTTTTCTTTCGAGAGAAGAAAAATTTGTACTCTGAGGGTGTGAGAGAGAGAGTGAACAGAGAGTAAAGGACAACAAAGTAAATATAATCACTAATATTTTTTATCTACTCATTTTTCCTATAGCAAAATCTCTGTCCTTTCAGTTGATGTTTTGTTGATTTATTGTGCCAGTGTTTAGATTTATCGGTTGTTTTTTCTCAAGCAAATTCGCTAAATTGTGTGCTTTTATTTTATGAATCGTTGTTGTAACCAAATTTTTTCTTTCTGTTCATTAGTTTTTCCTATTAGACGTAGATTTTTCCAATAAATATGCTTTAGTATTTTACGCCGATGCGATAAAAATGAACTCAAAGAGCAATGTACAGCCACCAAACATTAAGTAAAACCAATCGAAATTGAAAATTCTCGAAAGACAGACAGGGAGAGGAAAAAACGCGGCGAAATGTTTAAATACTCAAATAGAGATCAGATCGTAATGTGAATAGCGCGTTGGCTTGTGAAATAGTTGCTAATCCGTGTATGCATTTCCTTCGTACAGAAAAAAAACGTTTGGCATTTGAGTGTTGTGTGATTTGTATTTGCGTGATTGTGTTTTTTTCTGCGGGTTCTTACTAGATTCTGTCCCATCAAATCGTCAGAGTTGTCAACGAAATGTGACAGTTACAACAAATTCATTCCAATCGGTTTCTATTTTGAGCATAAAGTGTTCGAATTTGCATTTGCAAATCGCATTCGATTTTGTAAAATTCAGTCAGAATTGTCGAAATAGTCCGTGTCGCAGCATAAGCCCTCGCCGAGCAGACAAGCTCAATTTCAAAAATTACCGATGCTAAATATGGGACCACGTGCTTAAGCATAATGCAAATTTAAAACAAAACTTAACGCGCAAACCATTAAATAAACAAATTGTATTTTATTGTTAATTGCATTTGCCATGGCAAATCAGCACACATTTTTTTAACGATCACAAACGACGAAATAATATATCGGTCGGTTAATCCCTCGGTCACATCAGCCTGTTAAATAAAAACGAATAAACAAACAGTAAATTGTTAAAATATTATATGCGGCAGAACCTAACGCACAAGTATCACGTTCTCACACACATTTAGTCTCAAAATTGGTGACCAGTGCATGATTTCAGTTCATATCATAAAGCTTCTCACCGAGCTCTCTGAACTTTAAACGCACACCAGACAGAGAGAAATCTGTCAATGACCGGGAAATCGTTATTTCATTGAAATGTGTGCAATTTGAACCAATTTATTAACCAAAGCCGAAAAAAAATATCCAAACAATGAAATGGCACGTATTTCTCAGTAATAATCCTAAGTTTCAGATTCGATTCATTGATTTGTCACACGAAATTAACCAAATGAAAAAAAAAATGCCATCGTAATGAGCTTTTTGCAAACCGAACAAAAATAACTGAAAATTGATGAATTTTCGGTGAATTGAAATGAAGAAACAAAATAACTCCTGCAAATTCTAATAAGAATCGAATGCGAGTGTTTGGATGATTTCGAGTGATATCGTCACAACTGAATCTAAATGCATGAACACATATGTTGTATCGCAATGCAACGCGACTGTTTCAGCTCCTAATACTGTATTGAAAGAGGCAGAAAACGGCCCGTATCGATAGTCTTATTTTTATTTCGTTCCAATGAGCGTAGTTACACATCTCTTGCTTATCGCGTGCTCACTGCTCATGCATGTATATGCACGAGCAACGCTTACACACACATACAAACACACGCTCACATCCACAGCCACACATTCAGAGCCACCATAGCAAAAACCAATACCAATACCAATAAAACAGAAGCACGTATAAGCATGCGAATACGAGCTACAATCCATTCGAATCGAATATACGGCTACAAATGCGCGGCGCGCACATTTCCATAGCCCGTCAGTCAACCATACCAGAAAAATACAACACACCGAGAGAAAAGAGACGAGGCAGCAGCAGCAACAGCGGCAAAGTTGCTGTTAGCGAGCGAGAGAGCGCGACAGCTACACGGAATCCCATCGTCTATATATGGCTACGAAAATACCATTTGATTTGAAAACATTATGCGTACGAAATACATACACATAGCGCTATCATCAGCCGAAGCGTTAACAACACAAAACGACCTATCATAAAAATACACTATCACAATAACAGCATTAATAGCAGGCACCTTTAACAGGCAACGACTTTAACACAGCACCCAGTAAAAAATCAACTATAACTTCAACTTCATTTTGAAAAATGTCTTCAAAGCAATTTAAACCATTTAATTGTGTTCTTTCCTCTGTCAAATGGATTTTCGTGTAGAATTGAGAACAAAAAGTGTCTAAACAACAACCGAGCGAAAGAGAAGGAAAATAAAACTGTAAAAAAATAAAACATTATTTGAAAACAAAAGCGATCCGAAGGAAAACCGAAAAGTTGAAAAAGAAAGGAAAAAAAGCAAAACAAATGCGATAAACTTTTATTCTATTTTTGTGCTGTGTTGATGTGTATTCGCTCGGAAAAGAATCAAATAAATACGATTTTCAATTTCGCTCCGCACATAAGAAGAAGAGAAAAATTCTTATTCGATTGTTAAAACATAATTCGTCTTGCGAATATTCAGACGCTTTCTGCATTTGTAGTGTTGAATTGAAACTCACTAAAACTGAAACTACTGCGTGACATAATTTTATGATTTTTTTATTTATTTTCTCGTGTTGTGTCGACGTTTAATATTCATTTTTATTCATTCTTTTTTTCTGATATAGTGCAAAATATAATCAGTCAGGCAGTCTGTTAAGCGCCAGCGACAAAATAAAAACAATAAATTGCATATTTAAAGCGAAACCAATAAGTGCGTAAGTGCATGTGCGACGAAAACAGTTATTGAAACTTAATTGAGGCGATTCCAAACATTGAGCCACTTAAATAAATTCGAACGTGGAACAGAAAAAAATAGTGTCAATGAACCGCACCAAAGTGAGTTTTTGAGTGGACGTCGAGAGAAAGGAGAAAAATCGTTGAAAAGAAAATATTCAACTAATAATTTTCGCCGAAACGGTTGAAATTTTATTTTTGAAGGAAAAAAGGCTCAGTAACATTTTATCGTCGGACGACACGGTCGAATAGTTTAAAAGCCGATATTAAGAGTATTTGTAGTTTGAATTCGAGTCAAGCGAAGTAAAGTGATTACTGAATTAGGACAAAAGTGTGAAAAGTGCATCGAATATTTGTTGAAATTGTAGTTTTGGTAGCGATTGATCCAAGAGAATTGTTGAAGTATCGAAAAGAATTCCAAATGGCGCTTTCCCGTCGGCATTGAAACCGAATGGTACGAACACGCTAGCAAACAAGCATTCATTCATACTGGATGCTTAGATAAGCAATGTCAAAGTCCTTTCTGGATAGTATGCTACCAGGTTATCCGCAATTTCCACCATTCACTAGTTCTCAATTGAGTTCAGTCGCATCACTTCTCCACTTGAACAATAATAATTCCTATTTAAACTCGAATCACACACATCATAACGGCATAAATTTATCATTGGCCACATCGACATCGTCACAAAGTACGTTGTCTAATTCGGAAGACGCTTCTATTTCAAATTCAGCATCGGTGACAAATTCAACAGCGGCCAATAAAATGTATCCATATGTTTCAAATCATCCGTCGTCTCATACCAGTTTGTCAGGTATGCCAGGCTTTTCTGGTTTAGAGGATAAATCTTGTAGGTAAGTGAAATCGATTCGGAAAAACCCGACTTTACATTGCACTTTCATGATACAAGAAAAAAAATAAAACAAAACAAAATGCCGAACATATATAAAACACATACACAGCATACATTTTGTCGCATCGTCTGAAAATGTTAAAGTGCTCCCTTTGCTTGCCTAGTCGTATTTTTTTCCTATTAATTTTTATCAAAAACAAGACGCCGCATAATTATTTTTATCTTTTCTCATTTTAAAATGGTTCCATATCGAAAGCTAGATGACAAACAGCATTGATTTATTCGAATTTCCACACGCAAAATTGTTTCCCTTCCTTTGTGGTACTTATCGCCTTCAGCGCAACATCAAACTGAACAAAGCCGATTCATGTGTCTATGTTTATTTTCTCAATTTTCAGTCTTTATCTGCTCCTAATTCATTTCTCTCTCTCTCTCTCTTTGTTTATTTATTTATTCAATTTATCGCCCTACATGTAATGACACTCTCGATCATTGTCTTCACTAGCATCATTCCGTGGAGTTTTACATGAAATATAATAGCTATTGTTTAAACAAGTTACATGCTCAAATGGTTATTTAGGTGGTCGATCGTTTGTTTAGTGCATTTCAAGTCGAGCATTTAATATTGTTTAAGGAAAACATGGCATTTGATACTATCGTATTTGGCGCTAGAATTCCGGCTGGCAGCATCTCAACCGCATACACAATTTGATCCTATAGAAAAATTCGTTTCGACAAACGCTTCCGAATTAAAGCAGAGTCATACGAAGAAGAGTGAAAGGAGAAAAAATATGGCTTCGTTGCAACCCCTCTTCCATTTGATGCAATGGTAAACGGCAGCGATCATGAATCACACTCTTGCATTCCATAAAATAGGCTGGTTAGTTATGATGATCGTCAGTGCGTTTTTCCTCATTCAGACTGGTTTTAATGCGACTTTCATGTCGTCGTTGCATCGTGCACGCAAGTGATATGATATGATCGTAACCGTTTATTAACAACAATGTTACCGATTTTATCGTGTGAATCTTACTTGTTTGTACTGTTGTTGTTAAATAACGATAATTCGCGTTTATGACGCAAAATTTCTTTTCGTTCTTCGGTCGTTAAATGCATAAAAACGAGATTTCTATCAGATTTGACCTGTAAAAATTGCCCACTACATCATTTGCTGGCTTTTTCGACTTGAATTATTTCGATTTTATCAATTATGATGAAAAAAAAACTTTTTCATTGCATTTAAACCACACTCACATGCCATAGCCTTTTCATATATGTAAAATTGATGTCTACAGTGCACTGACATACACATTTCCCGACGGCAAATGCATTTACGAATCAATACATTCTCGTTCATTGAGCATCGAGACGAATGACGTGTGAACGATGGTAGAGAGTCAAACTGTTCGAACACATAGCCGCCGGCAAAATGACTAACTGCACATAGGCGTTCCTCTGACGACCTATTGGCGGAAGTTTATCGCATATTTTTGTTTATTTCTTAATAAACGAAATGAAAATATCTGCTTTCGATTGGAAATTGACATACCAGACAATTTTTATTTGGCCATTACGAAACGAATTATTGATATGAACTCAAACATTTTATTCGCATTTTATTTTAATTTATGTGCTTATCTATTTGCTTTAATGTTTTGCATTTTAGTTCTTTTTAGTTTTTTTTTTGTGAATGAAATTTTTTGAACGAACAATTTCGGTATTCTTATTTCTCTCGGACTTCTTTTTTTGGGGGTTCTACAGATATACAGACAGCGTCATGAATTATCAATCGATGGCTCCCAGTGCATCAAGCTTTGCACAATTCTACCACCAAGCAGCTGTTTCAGCCGCTTCCGCTGGCGTTGTCGGCGGCGTTGGTGATTCGCTAGGTAAGTGACTCTTCTCGATATTAGAATTTATCGCACCGAAATGCTCGTTATTGAAAAATGTTTTTGATTTGAATTGTGTGTATATTTTGTTTGTGGAATATTTGCAGGAAATTGCACTCAGCCATCATCGGGCGTTGCTTCAACAGCTGGAAGCACACCAGCTTTATCCGATCTGCCACGATACCCTTGGATGGCGTTAACAGGTGGTAATTATACGGTTTTTACTGCTTTTTTGCTTCTTTTTTTCATTTTCCCTTCTTTTCTTCGATTTTTGGGAAAAAATCCAAAGTGTCTTTAATTTTGAGGCATTATTTTTCTTTATTGATTGATTGATTCTTACAATTCTGTTGCTGCCCGCGATGTTGTCGTTGTATTTGTGTAAAATGTATATTTCCACTTTTCTAATAAAATGGGTTCTCCTTTTGTAGAATTTATGTGACTGTCGTAGTTTATCTCAGCCTGAGATTCTCAGGCAAATATAATAATGTTATTTCATCTTGTGAATGCATGTTTTCAAATTGAAATTCAAATGTTTTTTTTTCGTTGTTTGTTGAAACATAAGTCGTTTTGGATGAAAGATGAAAATAAAATTTCCTCAAAACTGAATGTGAGTCCCCTCAAAAAAGGTTCAATTGAACAAAAAACTTTTGCTTAAAATACGTAATTTTGCCATTTTCCGCAAGTGCCATTCCAACGACTAACATCAGTATTCTTCTTTGAAGAAGAAATAACACACACATCGGGAACTTGAGAAATTCAAAATTGGCCATTCAAGAAAGTATCTCTCTCGTCGTCTTTTTCTTCTTCTTTGGTAGCCCACTAAAAGCGGAGAGGAAATAACGAACAATTATCAAGCAAAGATCAAAATAAGCGAATTAAAGTGTTCTAATTCTATTGAATGGAGAAAATTCAACTCACTCCAAATTCTATTTATAAATTGTGATAGCGAAAGACCAGTTTGGAGTATTGACGTCGGTTGTGCGTCGAGAAGATTTTAATCTGTATAAAAGCCCCTGATCAAATTTACCGTACACTTAATCCAGCAATTTCGATTTTTCGTTGATGCGTTTTCTTTTTCTTGTTGCCATTGGAAATGGTTGTCGATTCTATGGAATCGTTCAGCACAATGGAGTTTGAAATCTGCTGAATGGTGAGCCAGGTAGAGTACATAGAAAAAGGCTGAGCCATTATCTGCTGTTTCGTGTGACTCTCTTCATGGTGCACAGCAAAGAGGAAAATAGAAACGGAATCGACAAAGACCGATATGGAGAGGTTTTTTGTCTCCTTTTTTTTTCTTTCCGTCATTGTCATTACGTCTAATGCGTGTAAGCGCACGGTGTTTGGTGATAGCAAGGTTTTTTCATGTCAGTTTGTCTCTTGCGTCTAAATTCCATTCCAGTCTATTGTGCGATATGTACAACAGTGACTAAACACCCAGTTGTACAGCGGCCATAAAACTTAGTTGACATTTCGGTTGTCGTGAGCTCCATTTTTTTCTGCGCTCGATGTGTTTGTGTGTTGTGTGCGCGCGGGACATAATATATACTTTTTTTTATAAAACCATTTAAATGAGGCAATATAGATTTATTTTATTATTATCGCGCCGGTAAATTTACTGTAGTGTCAATCTTATTTCATTTTTGGTTTGTTTGCCTTTCGCCTTTTGATTCCGTATCGGCTATTTCACATCGTGTAAATATTTTGACTTTGGTTTCCTCATTCTAGCAGATAAGGTTCAGGCAAGCGAGAGCGCGCCCATCCAGCCGTTTGGCTGAAATAATATTTTTATTGTTATTAGGCTATTTTACTTTCAAATGAATTGCTCGCACAAATAGGTGTGATACAATTTCTTTCCGAGCAATTTTCCATGTTGCTTTCTTTGCCGCCAAAACTCTTGATTTTTTTTCGAATCAGCATTTTTGTTGCATAATTCGTTTCCGATTTGAATGGATCGGCCAGTATCTCGACGTACCCAGAGCAAAAGTATAGAGCTATTCAATTCGACATAATTATGTTGAATGAATTTTCAAATATTCAGCGTTTCTTCAGATTTCCGTTATTATTTCTAGATTTGTATTTTTAGCTGTCACATAGGCAATTTCAGTTGTGATTCGAGTCTAACGAAAAAAAACTTTCCACTCAATTTAATGTAGAATCATCCTTTGTGTCTGTTTCTATGCATGCCCAACAATCGTACCGTAATCTTGAGAATAAATGTTATTCACTTTGCTTAAGAGCACATTCTAAATGGTATCATTTTTCAGGATTGGTCGACAAACTGCCGAATCAGAACTTCTTGGGCAACGCTGGCTACAAAGGTACGTGCTATTCATTTACGTTTGTCTATTTGCATAGCGACTGGTTGTGATTTAAGCATGTAATGTTCAAGCTTCTATGCGATCATTGAATTAATATTCTTTTGTTGTATTCAGACTGGATCGGCCCATATGATCGTGTTGTTTGCGGTGAATTCTCCGGTAAGATTCCTTTTATTTGATATTTATCTTAATAAAAAATAAATTTAATGTTGAACGATGGTTTATTTTTTTCCCCATTTAAAACGCGTGTATATTTTTATATCGTGGCGCTTTATGTAAATATCTTCAAGACCCTCAAAAAGTTCCTAATGAACAAATACACATCTTGTTTATTTAAAAATAAGTATTAGGGAAAAAAAAACAGTAGACTTTTACATTTGATAAACAGAACTGGAATTTCATAAATATTTGTTTTATCCGAAGTAGTTAATTCAGAGCATAGTGAATATGCTTGTTATGCATTTCAAATTAAAGACTTATCAACCCCATTTAGTTGGAGAGAGATAGAGAGATAGAGAAAGAGAGAGAGGGAGGAAGAGAGAGAGAAAGAAATGCGCATAAACATAAATATGTGCATCAACGAGCCAAAAACGGCAGTACAATAGTAATAAACAAAATAGAAAGGAAAAGCGTGTTCTAACGGCCATACTTCCGAATAGGTGAAAACAAAAACAATGGGAAGTACACAAGACACAAGACAAAAGCCGAGCGACACACAGAGCAAAAGAGTTTACTCTTTTTTTTGTTTCGGCACGACGAACGGTACAAACGCATTTACCGTCTTCGAACAATTTGTTCTGTAACGAATGAAGTCGACGGTAACTTTATTACATAATTTATATTATGTAATATGCACACCATAAACAACTCTTTTCTTTTTCGTCTCCTTTTTTCCGCTTTTTTTGCCCTTGCACGCTGAGGGGTTTTCTTTTTGATATTTTATGACCGTTCTCTGATGTGTTGGTGTTCGTTTATTCCATTTCTCGTTGCTCTGTGTCTGTTTTTTTCCATAGAATATTCATTTGGTTCGAAAAGCTTTGTTTTGTCGTCAATCTTCGCATGTGTCACAATTTTTCGTCTTTTATGGTTTTTATGGCAACACATTGCGCTTCTCATGCAAGTACAAACAATTGAACAATTTTCCACTTTTCAAGCATATACCTGAAGTGCGTTTTTTTTCTTTGCTTCTTCTCTTATGCACATACGTTTCTCTCTGTGTGTTTTTAGTGTCATATCACATCGTAGATCGATGTAGGTGTACATTACACCACCAACAAAACGTAAAAATTACACGCAATATTTACGGTAAAAAAACCTTTTCTTTTATATTATGCCAACGACTCAGTGCGTTTGTTTTTTTTCCTTTTACTTTCATTTTATTCCTTGGGTATTGTTATCTGTGAAGTGGAAGATTGAAGGAAGTGTGTGTGAGCGTAAGAATAAATATCAAGAGAATGGAAGAGTATTGCATAAGGTAGCAGAAAATGTTGGCGGTGTGTAATGGAAGTATGCCTACGTGGAATGAAAGCCTCTGACGTGCAATAAAAAGAAAGAAAACGATACACACACACTGTGTGAAACACAAAACATTCGCAGAAAAGTCAATACAGTTACTTAGCCCTTTTGTACGCATTTATCTTTCGGCGAAGAGAGACAACACAACACACACACACATAAGACAAAGATCTACACGTAAAATATTAAAATATATTCGATGTGCACTGTTCGCAATGCCTATGGCAAAAAAGGATTTTTCGTTATCTTGTTAACAACATTTTCAGCGGGACCCCTTTTTTGTTTGGCGCATTTTCCCGTTGTCTTTTATTTGCAAAAGCAAAATATTGTTACTGTAAAATGAATGAAAAGAGAAAAGCACACCGACGTGAAATTATAATGAACCCTTTTCTAAGAACACCGACTTCAAAACGAACAAAATATTTCATTTACTTGTCTCGTACAATTTGAACAATAGAGTGCGATGTGCGTTTCCAATTCATGTGTCTTCCCAACTGCAGGCGTTTTAGTTGGCTCATTTCAAGAAGATTCACGAATGTTTCGAAAACTAAATCAATTTTTATTGCAACGCATTCGTTCTGACGAATGAAAAAAAGAAACAAGAAAAGTCGTTTTTTTCTCTTCGTAACGATTGTTTTTTGTACAGTTGTGAACGACAGTTTCTGTAAGTGGCTGAGACAATTCGACACAATCTCCTTTTATTATGCTAATGTTTTATTTATTTGAAATGTAAATTTATTTATTTATTTATTTTTTTTCGCATCACAACGATTTCTGTAAACAATTTTCGTTCAACTCCCACAATCGATACGAACTCATTCGGCTGGTGGAGTGCATTGTGCACAACAACAAAAACTCGTCGACCAATTTTGTGTTCGCCTTGGCTGTTCGGTCATCAATTCATTAAAATGCATTGACGTTATTTGTTCAATTTCAATTTTGAATTTAACAATGAAATTTATTGTGCAACCTACATTCAATTCGAATGCTAGAGATGCAGTCACAGCGCACGGAATTGGCATCAATTCAATTCCATATAAAAACATGAACGATGGTTTAAGACGGTGGCTTCATATCAGAACAATGCCACATTGTGCCCCCGATGCGTTTTTTCTTCAGCCTTTTCGTTGCCGTTGCCTTCTCTCTTCATTTGGCTATAAATGAAAAATTATTGGCTCATTTTTTCATCTCGATTATTTTAATAACTCTATGTGCTTCGCTCATTTTATATACATCATGCTATCTTTCTCTCGGCTCGTTGTCACATTTTATTTGTCACACTCTCGATAGAGTGAATATTTCCATTCTAATTGTATGGAAATCATTTTGTTCAAAACAATGAATGGCTTCAGTATGAAATTCAATGAATGAGAATCCCAAAAGAAGCGTACAACCTACATCAAAACTTGATTCAGAGACTTAACACAATAGAAGCCATCGAATGAGAAAGAGAGCCCAGACTGGTCAACCATCTCCATATACCGAAAATTGAAGAGAGAAAGAAAAAAACCGGAATTTATAATTCCCATTTCGCACTGGCAATTATGCTACAGAAAACAGGCATTTGAATACAAATGGCAGCCATCAATGTGCGACTCAGACATCTGTTTCCGAAATAATTTCGTGTTAATTGCCAGTCATTTTTCGAAAAATGCATGTTTCGTTTTGTTTGGTTTTCTCGTTGGTCGTGTGCACTACGGAATTGCGCATATTCCACATAATTTTCCCTGGCCTTTCAGCAAAACAAATAGAATTTAATTTAAGTTTATGTGACTTTAGTGCGCTTGCTTTTTTGATGATCGTTTAAATTGCAATTTATTTATTGAATCTATTAGGGCTGCGCATACAAACGCTATTGTTTGCTTAATTTCTCTGTTTGACTAAAAATATCGCCACAATGTCGGCTAATTTGTTTGACTTTGTGCTCGTTCGTTCATGTTCTTTTCTCATAAAATTTGCATAATCGGTGAAATTTTGTCTTCTCTCGCACTCCCGTCGCCGCTGTTGTTGTCGTCATTGGCATTAGCAAGGAGTGACATGTGGCTGAAATGCTACGCTTTCAAATGCAAATACAAATACGAAAAACGGCACTGCCTCTTTCACTGCACGGCGCATACGTGAAACGTGATCCAATATTTTGGCATGAATTTAAGGACGAAATTTGTAAAATATTTCAATCAAACCCGAGCACATCACTTGATTCTCCTACTCACTCGCACTCTGTTCGCTCTATCTATTGTCAGCCACTGACAAAATGATTTTAATCGAACGCTCGAAACTTTTCTGCAAACATATGCTGTAGTGAGAAGTTTTTCGTAATGGTTATGGCCCGATTTCAGCGAATGTTATGCAGCATGCATCGAAACGATGATTGGATTCATGGCAAATCACATTTTCTGAAGGGAAACTTGATATTTGATACATCGAAATTGAATCAAGAGACAGAGCCTTTCTAAAGGCTACAGCGCCAGTTTTATAGACGAAAAAGAGCCATTATGGTAGACGACACACGTAGTTTTCTAATCAAAATACCGGATATTAAAAGAAAGACTATCATCACACAATCATGTGCCTGCATGAAGATATTAGAAGAATGTAATCATTGCGCTTATCACACACATTGTTGATTGTTGCCAAAGTCAAAACATGCCGACCAAAACCGATTTATTTTCATATTCCTTAATATCATCGGCCATTCTGATCATACCGAACACGAAACAGAAAAAGAATAAACGATTCCGTTTGATAATGTGCACACAGAACCCGACATCGTAGTCGGTTTCGATTGGGTTCGGTTATTGTGGGTAAGTTTGAATGGAAAATCAAGTTCATTTTTCCATACACACAACAACAGCAAACAACAAAAAAGAATACAATTTGTTCGTCGATGCGCATCGAAATGATGCTGCGTGGATAGAAAAATAATTTATTTACGTATTTATTATCATATTTATTGAATTGAGTTGGATTCCGAAAAACATACACGCGTGCACACAAGAAAAATGGAAATGAACGTTTTTTGAATTACTAATGGCCCTAAATAGCGATACGAAGCATGGGAGAGTTGCTTCACATATCATGTACAGTTGACAAAATATGTACCGCAGCGTTGTCACTCTGTGATATTTATTCGCTTTTATGCAAGCGTGTGATGTGAATGGCAACTACCGCCACCATCGCCGAAGACAGTGCGACGAGCACAAGGAGGAAAGAGAGAGAGAAATAAAAACACTAAGTACAATTTATTCAAGGACACTTGTTTTCATTCCATACCATTCGAATCGGTTAAAGTGAGAAACACACACGCTGCACAAAGTGTTCGTTGGTGTGCACTGGCAAAACGCTCTTCAAATTGAATACATTGCACATTGACATTGGCGTTGCGATTGCTCATGATCTTCGGATGAAGTCTTATTATGAGCATCACCAATAAAAATGGTAGAAAAACATGCTCAACGAGGAAAAAGATCCTTTCGCTTTTTTTCTGTTAGTAGGAGGAGAAATTCTATACATAAATTTTTATATGATTTTTCTTTGGTTGATGTAGCATTGTGTATTATTCACTGCTGAGCAGACGAGCAGATTTCAAATTTGCCAGCTTTGTTCCCCATTCCTCCCATTGTCATCGTTTGAAATGATGAGGT